TGGGTGCTGGTTACCTCCTCAATTGAGTGCCAGAAGCTCCATCGTGGAGCTGTTGTAAGCTCTTCTCTCTCAGTGGCTGGAGCTAACCCTGCTCCAGTTTGTATCAGCACTGTAGTGGTTATTGTGCTTGAAGTGTTTCTTTAAAATAATTTGATTAAAATGGGGATTGACTCCAGTCTTGAAAGTCGCCTTGATGCGTTTAATAAAAACGTAATTAGGTTTACATGTATTTCTGACACTATCGTGCTGAAGTGGGTGTTTAGGATTTTACTCTCCTTTAGTCCTACATCGTGCCTGTTGTGCTGCGGCTCAACTCCCTTGTCTTCTGCCTCCATGGGTGAGATCATCAATCTTGATCTCAGCCAATCCAATGCGCATTAGCCTCCCAATGAGAAAGTACTGTGAGGCTAATGCGCCTGTGCAGCAAAACACTGTGCTGCTCCAATCAGCATCTCCTCATAGAGATACATTGAATCAATGCATCTCTACAGGGAATGTTTAGCACCTCTATGCAGAGCATTGAGACTTTGAATGCCAGTGCTGCACACACTGGATTAGGAAGCACCACTAGCACCTACTCTGTGTGATTGCCACTATAGATGTTACTAGGCAGTAATGTAAACAATAATGTAAACACACTTCGACCGCGGTATGTACGCCAGTGCATGCAGATACACATACACTTAAAGGACCACTACAGACTCCCAGATCACATCAGCTCAATGAAGTGTTCTGGGTGCCAGGTCCCTCTAGTTTTAACCCTGCAGCTGAAAACATAGCAGTTTCAGAGCAACTGCTATGTTTCACTGAGGGTTAATCCAGCCTCTAGTGGCTGTCTCATTGACAGCCGCTAGAGGAGCTTCCGCGATTCTCACTGTGAAAATCACAGTATGAAGACGCTGGATGTGTTTGAATGTGCGTGCAGCTCTTGCCGCGCATGCACATTCGGAGCTGAGAGGCGGATCGGGGCAGAGGGATCCTAAAGGGAGTCCGGCGCTGGAGAAAGGTAAGTGCTCAAGACACACACACTCACAAACAGATGCATACACACTAGCTAACAGACACACACATTTACTGACAGAGACACACTCAGTGACAGACATACATACGCACTCACTGACAGACAGACACATACACACTCACTTACAAAACACACACTCACTAACAGACACCAAACAGACTAACAGACGCACACAAACTAACACATTCAGTAACAGACACACACAGCAACACACTCACTGACACACACAAACTAACACACACACTGACACACAAACTAACACACACACTGACACAAAAACTAACACACACACTCTAGCACTAACACACACACACTCTAACACTAACAAACACTCCAACAAACACACACACTCTAACACACACACACACACACACTCTAACACTAACACACACTGTAACACACACACACTCTAACACACACACACACTCTAACACTAACACACACTTTAACACTAACACACACACACACACACACTCTAACACACACACACACACACACACTCTAACACTAACACACACGTTTAAAAAAAAAATTAATACCCCAGCCTCCTTACCTTGGGGAGTGCTGAGGGGATTCCATGGCATTCAGTGGTGTCACCGGGCGGGCAGGCTGGCGGGCGAGCGAGGGAGCACTCTTCCCTGAGTGCTCTCTGTTCAGCTCCCTCGCGCGCCGCGTACTGATGCCGGAGCTGGAATATGACATCATCTTCCGGCTCCTTTATCAGTGCGCGGCGCACGAGGGAGCTGAAGAGGGAGCACTCAGGGGAGAGTGCTCCCTCATGCGCCTGCCAGCCTGCCCACCCGGTGACACCAGGGCCAGCCTCAGGTGGCCCTGAGGTGGCTAGCTCCTGGGCCCCCAGGAGAAGAGGCTGGCCACACTGGCGTACATACTGGGTCGCAGGGCGGCCGGGCCCCCTAGTGGGCTGGGCTCGGTCACAGCCGCGACCCCTGCGACCCTGGTATGTACCCATGGCAATAGATGTGCAAATGATTGCTACTAAAAACTTGCAGAATAATTGTAATTGGTTAACTCAAGACAAGGTGCTGCAGCAACTAAAGAAAGTTAATATAAACAAAGCTCCAGGGCCTGACGGTATCCATCCACGTGTACTTAAGGAACTAAGTGTAGAAATAATTTTTTAATCTTTCAAGATTCTTTTCTTTCAGGAAGTGTTCCGGAGGATTGGAGGGTTCAAAATCCTTGCCTGGAAATTATAGACCTGTAAGCTGAACTTCTGTGGCTGGGAAAATATTTGAAGGGTTATTAAGGGATAATATTCAAGAATTTCTTGAGAAGAACATGGTTATCAGCAAAAATCAGCACGGTTTTAGGAAGCACAGGTCATGTCAAACTAACCTGATTGCGTTCTACGAAGAAGTAAGTAGAAGTATAGATCAGGGTGTTGCAGTGGATGTGATCTATTTGGATTTTGCCAAGGCATTTGATACAGTTCCACACAATAGATTAGTGTTCAAATTCAAGGAAATCGGTCTAGATGAAAATGCTTGTTCTTGGGTAGAACATTGGCTTAAAAACAGAGTACAAAGAGTTGTCATTAATGGTAAATTTTCAAGCTGGACAGAGGTGGCAAGTGGTGTCCCTCAGGGGTCTGTTCTGGGACCCCTTCTATTTAACATATTTATAAATGACCTTGAAGACAGCATTGAAAGTCATGTTTCAGTGTTTGCAGATGACACAAAACTTTGTAAAATAATACAATGTGAGCAAGATATTACTTTGCTGCAGATGGATTTAGATAGACTGGGGGACTGGGCACTCAAATGGCAGATTAAATTTAAAAAAAATGCAAAGTTATGCACTTCGGCGGAAAGAATACACAAGCAATGTATGCCCTTAATGGAAGCGAATTAGGGATAACAACACTGAAAAGGACTTGGGAATTGTTATAGACAACAAACTATGCAACAATGTGCAATGTCAATCAGCAGTGGCCAAGGCCAGTAAGGTATTGTCATGCATGAAAAAGGGCATTCATTCTCGGGATGAGAATATCATTTTGCCTCTTTATAAATCACTGGTAAGACCACATATTGAATATGCTGTGCAATTTTGGGCACCTGTTCTAAAGAAGGATATTATGACACTAGAAAAAGTGCAGAGGCGGTCTACAAAATTAATAAAAAGAATGGAACATATCAGCTATGAAGAAAGGTTAACAAATTTAAACCTATAGGAGGGGATATGATAACATTATACAAATATATTCGGGGCCAATACAAACCATTGTGTGAAAATCTATTCACAAACCGGACTTTACATAGGACACAAGGCCATGCGTTTAGACTGGAAGAAAGAAGATTTCATCTAAGGCAAAGGAAAGTTTTTTTTACTGTAAGAACAATCAGGATGTGGAATTCTCTGCCTGAAGAAGTGGTTTTATCAGAGTCCATACAGATGTTCAAACAGCTACTAGATGCATACTTGCAAAAACAGAATATTAAAGGATTTAATCTTTCAATGTACGGTAATAACTGCTTGATCCAAGGATAAATCTGACTGCCATTCTGGGGTCAAGAAGGAATTTTTTTCCTAGCTTGTTGCGAAATTGTGCTTCAAACTGGGTTTTTTTTACCTTCTTTTGGATCAACAGCAAAAAACAAATGTGAGGAAGGCTGAACTTGATGAACCCAAGTCTCTTTTCAGTTATGTAACTATGTAAGGATGATGGGCTCTGGCTACAGTCTGGCTCCAATGGTCTGGTGTAGAACAGGCTCTCTGGAGGCTGTTTGTAACTGTGGTCACAAAAGTCAGTGTTCTGGGGGAACAGGAAGCAGTTCCATTTTTGGGGGGCCCCTTACACAGCTCAAGGTCTGGGCCCCAGGGCCTGACGGTGAGTATTCCCATAAGGCCCACCCATAGAGGATCTAAAGTGTGTGCTTATGGAATGTAGTGTATAGGGATACCAGTTTGTGTAGGTGATGCAGTGTGTGTGTGTGTAGTGGATGCAGTGTGTTTTTGTGTAAAGGATAGAAAGCAGTGTGTGTTTGTGAGTAAGGCATGTAAGGTGTTTAGAAAAAGAAAAAAAACACCTTAGAGTCTAAGGTGTTTTTTCCCTTTGTCTAAACACCTGAGACACACCCAGGTAATCCCCAAATCCTGGACTGGTAGGGGGTCCTGAGGACTGGGTTGAGAACCCCTGCCCTAGAGTATCTCTTACAAGCCCCTTGTTTGTCTCTTATCTCCCCTCTTTGTATGTCTCCTACATCCTCCCAACTTCTTTGCGTGTCCTACTCCCCAGCCCCTTTGTGTGTCTCCCTCCCGAGCTCCTCTGTGTGTCTCTTTCTCTCCTACCAGCCCTTTTGTGCTTCTCTTTCCCCCCTTCCTTAGCCTCTCTGTGTGTCTTCCACTCCCCTGTCCCTTAATAATCTCTTTCACTCCCATCCGTCCCTTGCTAGTCTCCTCTCCTCCCTTTGTCCCTTAGAGCTCTCCCCTCTTGTCCCTTACTGCTCTCCCCTCCTGTCCCTTAGGGCTCTCCCCCCCCGGCCCTCAGTGCTCTCTCCAACCCCCTCAGTCCCTTGGTGCTCCCCCATCCCTTAGTGCTCTCTTCTTCTGCCCCTTAGTGGTCTCTCCTCCCCTCCCCTGTCCAACCTTCCCCAGGTGTTCGCTCATTACCCCCTCCTCCCCTGGTGGTCTCTTCTCTCTACCCCCCCCCACCCAGTTGGTCTCTCCTTCCCTCTCTCCCCCCCCAACCCCCTCACCAGGTGGTCTCTCCTTCCCTCCCGCCCCTTCTCTTCAAGCGGTCTCTCCTTCCCTCTCCCCACCCTTCTCCTCAGCATGTCTTCCTTTCCTTTCCAAAAAGAGATTAAAATATCCAGAATGCAACATAAAGGTGAGGGGAGTATCAGAGACTATACCCCTAGTGAGGGGAGTATCAGAGACTATACACACTTCATTAGAAGGTTAGTGTCATCACTATCGGCATTTGATACAGCAAGAGAGGCTAAATACTTCTCCTTTGATGGGGCATACCGAATATCCAAATCCCCAAGAGCCCCTGCAACCGCACCACGAGACATTATTCTCAGATGTCAAACAATGTCCAACAAATTAAGCCTGCTAGCAGTGATAAAAGGGAAGACGCCATACGAATTTGAGAACTGTAAAATCTCGTTCTTCCAAGACCTCAGCAGGGCTACGCTACAGTGGCGGAAAACCATGCAGCCCCTCACGCAGATCTTGCAGAAAGAAGGCCTGACCTACAGATGGGCGACACCGCACACCCTATGCGTCACTAAAGAAGGGAAGTTCTACAAAGCTACGGACCCAGCAAACATCCCCGCACTACTGGCAGCACTGGACTTACAACCACAACGGGGCCTCGAACACGCACCACCGGACACACAACCTCTACTGGACACTGACTCAGATACGTCCTCATCAGACATTAGAAGAGACAGGAGGCCAAAGACTTGAACTAATCAGCACGCCTGAGTACCTCAAGTTATAGGGACATTCGAGAGACTTTCCTAGCTGCAAAGCTATGCAATGCTTACCACTGTACAGAACATCTCCCCTGTCTTTCTTCCTTTTTTTTTTCATTGTTGTTCTGTTTCTGTTTATGCAAATCAACACACAATTACCTAGCTGCGCACAGAGACTCAAGGGCACACACAGCGCCCACAGCACGCTCAGGGACTCTCTCCCCCCCCCCCCCATCACACTCAACATGCCAGGGGGAAACGACAAGGGGACAAGGGACCACACATGGACGAGGGCCACACAGTAAAACTAGGGCCAAGAGCAACTACCACATAGGGCCGACACCATATAGGAACCAACACGCCTCATCCCCATAAGCACCCAAGAGACCCAGAACTCGCAAACCTCGCTGGCATATATCCTACGAGACATCACACATAGCGGGAGTTTAACAACCCATACACTGACTAACTCGTTACAACCCAACAGACTACCACACTATTAGAAACGTGCAACACGATACCCAGCCAGTGACTTCATATGCGATATTTACCCCTGTTCCAGAATAGATTGTAAAATTTATGTAAGACTTGAATGCAAAATGTTTGTACGATAACTAACAATGCTAATATGCACCAAAAATAAAGAATTAGAAAAAAAAAAAAAATATCCAGAATGCCTGTTGTCATTACAGTTGTTTTGAAAATAACAAACAGGAAGTGTCACATTAAACAGGAAGTTGCAGTCTGCATGTTTAGAAAACATTTATTTTATTATGAAAAAGTCTAAATGCAAGGAGTGTGGTGAATGATTAATGTACTAAGGTCAATTTAATCTGTCATTGGGAGAGTAGTGTCCAGGAGCTATCTTTCCTACAGAGATTAACCTGTTCAGTATGAACTACGGCTCTCACCGGGAGGTCGTCTGGCAAAACATTCTATGTGCAGCATTGGCCATGGGTAAGAACGTCAAGGGGAGTAGTGTCAGGCACCGGGGTAAAACAATTTAGCTGCTGAAGACAAGATGCCTCTCAGTCACTTGTGCCCCATACAAATTCAATTACCTGATGTTGTTATGGGAATGTTCCTTTTAAAGTACTCTAAGCACCAAAACTATTTTTAGCATAATGAAGCATGTTTGGTGTATAGGTCATACTGCCGCAGACTCATTGTTCAACTCTCTGCCATTTAGGTGGAACATTATGCCTCCCAACATACCTGTGTTTGGTGGGACAGTTCCATTTTCAGTGTGTCGAGTGCCCCTTCTGTGGGTAGGCCCCCTGGAAAAAAGGGAGAATCTACTTGTTTTGGGCATCGCTGGTGACATGAGTCATGTCACTTGTGTTGCTTACCTCTGGGCCTGTCCCCCTATCCCAATTTAACAACTTCCAAGAACATCCCAATACTGTGCTTGATGTCAGCATGGCACGCTTGGACAAGCAGAGAACCCATCAGTTATGGACGTTGCCTGTGGTGTTGCATCACTAGCAATGCTCCTCTCGTGGCCAATGTCGAATATTGCATATTCTGTGTTCCTGTTCGCATTCATTTTAGGTGTGGATGTCTAATGGGTTAAAAAGAACAGATATTAACTTGCTATTCCGTACCATGAGAAGTCTGGAATGTTGGTGCATAATGAGAGATTGAGGATTGAGGGTTTTCATATGTGTCCTTATATGGTCAGAGTTTTAACTAAAAGTTCTGACGTCATTATAGTCAGGTGTATAATAACACAATAGACAAAGGACCACGCTCTGTTCCCCTGACTTGCTGGACAAAGGTGCTTACTCTCCATCGTAGATCTCACTCTCATCATTAAGCTATACCATCTGGTAACTTTTTTTTTCGCATCTACTGTTATTTACATTGTGAGCAGAATAAACGTATATTTTTTATAAAGAACATCAGATTGCATATTAATATTTGTGTGATATCCAAAGATACTATATTTTGGCGAGCCATTTCTACGAGAAACTATATACAATAAAAAAAACATCCCAATTACCTTAACATATACATATTTATTACAGCCCGCGTCCCCTCATCCTGACTGCATACCACCCAATGATGGGAGGTTTGTTAAATCACTTTTGTTTCTGTAAATGCAACTCCTCTGACTGTTACTCACACTGCCAACATGCCAAAAATTGTTTCATTTTCAATCAGATTTTACAGCACAGTGTGTTTCTTTTAAAAGTGTTTTCTCCTGCTCTGTTAATTGAACTTAAATCACACAGGAGTCTCCTGCAGGCTTTAGCAAGTAATTACAAGAACAGTAGATAAAAAATGCAAAATTAAACACACTGTGGAATAACTTAATTTTGACAATTAGATCTCACTTTTAGTAGAGAGTACGATAGTGTACAATACAGTTAGGTCTACTTGCTATTTTAAAAGGGACCATTTTAAATTAGCCAAACCTTACATCTTTCACATAACACATTAAATATGAACATATTTATTTTTTTATGCAAATGTAAAAAAAGTCACGTACCTTGATGCACTGCTTAGTGGGTCTGTCTGCACCTGAAGGAAATTTCATCCTGGTGTCTCTCACTGAGACTAAGGGGAACAAACGATCACTGAGAGCCAGACGGAGTACCCTGTATTTCGGATGCAGGAGCTTTCAAAATGAGATCTGGCAAAAGCACCAAACGTCCTGGAACTATTTTGACCATAGGACCAGGGCCGGATTAACATAGGGGCTGATGGAGCTGCAGCTCCAGGCCCGGGCCCATGGAATAGGCCCATTGATTTAAAAAAAAATTTTTTTTTTTCCACACACTACTCTTAGGGATTCCACCTGGCTTTTATTTTATAGGCACAGCCAGTATTTGAGGCTGCCTGGCTAGTGCCAATATTGCAGTGATACTGGCAATACAAATGCTGGTATTTTTCTCAGTATAAACAAGATATTACTATGCAATACCAGCACTGGCCAGTAGGGGTCCAGCATATCCCTCCCTACCTATCTATACTCACTGATCTGCAGGGGTGCGGCTACAGAGAGTCCAGACAGCAACTCCCACCCTGCAGAGACAGCCTACAGCTCAGGGAAGTAAGGGATGGGGAAAGGCTGCAAGGAGACATACACTGAGACACTAAGGGGCACTGGGAGACATTATGGCAGACACTGAGACACTAAGGGACATTGGGAGACATTATGACACAGACACATGGGGACACTGTGTGCCCATGTCTCCCAGCCAGTGTCCCTGGTGTCTCAGTGCCCCCTAGTATCCCAGTGACCCCTAGTCTCCCAGTGCCCACAGTCTCCCAGTGCCCACAGTCTGCCAGTGTCTCACTGTCCCCATGTCTCCTAGTGCCTCCATGTCTCTCAGTGCCTCAAGTGTCACAATGTCCCCATGTCTCCAAGCTAGTGTTCCTAGTGTCTGTGGCCCTGGTGTCTCAGTGTCCCCATGTCTCTCAGTGCCCCCATGTCTCCACATGTCCCCCAGCCAGTGTCTCTAGTGTCTGTGCCCCTGGTGTCTGTGTCCCCATGTCTTCAAGTGTCCCCTATTTTCCCATTGTCCCCATGTGTCCCAGCCAGAGTCCCCTAGTCTCCCAGTGTCACTGGTGTCTCCGTGTCCCTAGGTCTCCCTGTGTCCCCAGGTCTCCCTGTGTCCCCAGGTCTCCCTGTCTTCCTAGTGTCCTAGTGACATGGGGACCCTGGGATACATGGGGACACAGGGAGACATGGGGCATTGAGACACTGTGATGCATAGGATCACTGGGAGACCTGGGGACACGACACTAGGGGACACTGGGAGACATGGGGCACTGAGACACTGATACATAGGAACACTGAGACCTGGAGTAATAGACACATGGGGGCACTGGGAGGAATCCATCTATACAGCAGAATCAAACTAAGTAGTTTTTGAGTGATTTTCCATCATTTTCTCTTATGTCACTCCTTGTGATTTACATCATGTGATGTCACCCATACATATTTAATTATGCAAATTAGTAAGGCCGGTATGTTTTTCCAAGAAAGGTGGCAACCCTAACTACTTTTCACATACTCTTACTTAAGTATGGAAACTTAAGAGGGATGTATGGGAACAAAACTTGTGTGGACTGGCTGACAATGAAAAGGGACACTATAGTCACCAGAACAACTACAGCTTATTGAATTTGTTCTGGTGAGAAGAATCATTACCTTCAGGCTTTTTGCTGTAAACACTGTCTTTTCAGAGAAAATGCAGTCTTTACATTACAGCCTAGTGATAACTTCACTGGCCACTACTTAGATGGCTGTTAGAGATCCTTCCTGGGTCATGGCTGCCTAAAATGCATCCAAACATTCAGTATCTCCTCCCTATGCATGCAGACACTGAACTTTCCTCATAGAGATTCATTGATTCAATTCATCTCTATGAGGAGATGCTGATTGGCCAGGGCTGTGTTTGAATCATGCTGGCTCTGAACCTGATCTGCCTCTTTGTCAGTCTCAGCCAGGGGTGCTGGATGGTGGTGTTAACACTATAGGGTCACAAATTCATGTTTGTGTTCCTGACCCTATAGTGATCATTTAAGGTAATGCTGACTTTGGTCTCTCTAACACTGTGGCATGTTCCCTTTCTTCTACACTCACTACATACAGCTTTTCTCTGTCCCAGACTATATACCAGGAGCTTCTGCCTGCTAGTAAGAAGGTAAGGAGACAAATGGACCAGCGAGTGCTGGGGGACAGTCCTTAGAAAGCGTTGAGTGAGCACATCATTAGATGCATTTATGTCAAGCTCAGGGTGCTGTCTGC